ACAAGGAAAAAAAAAAAACTTATTTCTAATTAATTGATTTTCTTGACCATAAGAGTTGGTGTAGTTTTGATTAGGAAGCCTTCGAGGCACTCTGTATATTATAAATTTATAATATTGATTGCATAAAGGAGGAAGACATGTGGGAAATGGGACTACTGTCGTTACCACGTGCTTTCCTTTTTAGCAAAAGCAAAAAGAAAAAAAAAAGAAAAAAAGATATTCTCAGGACGAGAAAAAATAAATTATTAATATTTTTTATTTTTTAATTGTTAAATTTATATTAAAAATTATCAGTTGTGCATATTTTTAAAATTTAATTTGATTTTAATTAAATTCTTATTTGTTTTAACAATTTGAACTGTTGTTTATGATTTATACGTAGTTCAGAATTTAAATTGATGTTTGAGAGAGAAAAATTTAAGGACAATTCAAATTAAGAGTGGCAATTTGTGTTACATGTCGTGTCCGTGTTGAGTTTTGATCGTTTCTTTCTAAATTTACAATCAACCTGAACACGACTCGTGACACGAAATTTTTTAAAAATATAACACGAACATGACACGACCACTTTACGGGTTGACACGACACGACACGAAAATGACCCATGACATGAAATTGACCCGTGAACTCGAAATTAACACGAAAATTATATACTTTTATTTAGTTTTTTACATATTAGAAATAACTTAAAATTTATAACACACTAAAATACAATAACATCCATTGAAGTTAAGCAAATAATAGTATAAGATTTTGAGTATAACTATCATGATATCACAAGTTCATAATAAAATAAAAAATATCTAATGAAAAATGTGTATTTTTTAGTTTTTTACAAGTTTCGTGTCGTGTTCGGGTTAGGCGGGTCCAACTCAAAATTGACCCATATTTTTCGTGTTAATTGCAGGTCGACCCAATTATGACCCGAACCTCTTTTTTCTCTATCATAACCCGCAAAATTCATGTCGTTTTCGAGTCGTGTTGTTGTGTCGTAACCCATATTACCGACCCTAATTCAAACCATTAATAATGGTTCTAACAATCTTAATTGTTTTCTACGGTGAAAACAATTCTGATTCCATTTTTTTTATCTCTTTAGTTTCAAGCTTAAAAATGTCATAACTTCTTCGTTTTAATTCCGATTAAGATGATTTTTTTAATGTGTTCATAATGAAGAGAGGAACAAATCTCCATTCATATTGCATATTTTTAGATGTCATTTATAATGAGATTTTATAAGATTTGTTAGAAAACTCTAATTACAGTTTTTCACACTTTATCCAAACAGTTTGAATTTTATTCTTTATTCAAATTATAATTTATTTACATATTTAAATACCGATTTAAATCACAATTTAATTCACCATAATTTAAATCACCACAACTCAAACTAAATTAATAATTTAAATTGTTGAATCAAATGAGTCATAAATCTAATAGTCAAATAGAGGTCTACTCGAAAAATTTTCAAGAAAATAAAAATTTACCAAAAGCAAAAGGGACAACCAAAAAGAAAAAAAAAACATAAATAAAAGGACAACAATAGTAGGGAGATTCTTCAAAGCGCTACTCATGAGATTTTTTTAGGAAAAGAAAAATCTTTTTAGCGTGACGTGGGAATGCGTAATTTCAATCTAATATTTTCCCAAATGGCATCGTGTTATTGCTATTATAATGAAGTCGTGAATATTGGTTTGCCGTGAAACAGCAATGCTGAATAAAACGATAAGAAGTTGATAGCTCATTTAGTTCGATTTAAATTTTTAATTTAAGTTGAGATGTAATTTTATATAAAAATTTTTTATTATAATAAAAAAATTAGATGTAATTATTTATAAAAATTTTTTACTGTAATAAAATTTAAATTTTAAATTTAAATTAATAAAATAAACGAGACATGAGTCTCTTTCAGTTAATTCTGATCGGCGAATCTTAAAATTAAGATGTCTTTGACAAAGCCAACTGTGGTCGACTGATTGAGACATTCTCCCACGTGGGCTGCAAATCTCATAACTTTTGAAACTCTTTTTTTCGCTTCAATTGAAATCCATTACTTTATCACGCAATATATACCGAATGAGTAATGCCCTTAAATAATTTCTTTTTCAAAGAAAATTTGTATGATTGTTTTCACAGCTTAAATTATAACTTAAATTTTATTATTATAATATTTTTTATATAAAAATTTTAAATTTAATTTTTTTATTATAACATTTTTTTCTTATATACAATTTAAATTCTCAACATAAGTTATGAAATGTGTATATAAATTCTCAACATAAGTTATGAAATAAACATAATGTTTAGCCTGTGTTTTTCGAACAAGCAATCTTACGTTCAGATAAAAAAAAAAGAAAAAAAAAAAAGCAAGCAGACAATCGTACGCAAAAAATATTGCTTTTATCCATTCGTTGTTTTATTAAATGGATACAATTAGGCCACGTCCTCTTGTTTAGCAAGAAAATTTAGGCCCGTTCACTTCGCTGATTCGAATTTGTAATTCGAGTTGAGATGTGATTTTGTATGAGAGCTTTTTACTGTAGTAAAAAAGTTAAATGTGACTGTTTATGAGAGCTTTTTACTGTAACAAAACTCAAATTCTAAACTCGAATCGGTGAAATGAACAGGGTCTAGTACATTTAGATTCCGTTCATTTCGCTGATTCGAGTTTAGAATTCGAGTTTTACTATAGTAAAAAGCTCTCACAAATAATCACATCTAACTTTTTTATTACAGTAAAAAGTTCTCATATAAAATCACATCTCAACTCTAATTAAAAATTTAAATCAGCGAACTAAACGGTAACAACTAACCGCTCTCCAATCTTTCACTCTCGTACCTAAAGTTGTGTAGTAATGACGACATCACATCATCACATGGGCAATGTAAGATCACACTTCCATATTCGGACAAAATAATTCTTAAGCAACTGTGTACCACTCGAAGCTATGTCGACAACCGACTCAAATTTCTCAGGAGACTAGTTGAAGAAGGCGAGCTGTGCTCACTTAACCAAGCATCTTGTACAGAAATTGGTGAATTATCCTTCAATATTTCCTTTGAGTTAAAGCTATCACCTCTTATTTGCATTGTAAGTGTTGAGAAAAGTATACATGTTACGTGACTAAGAGTGTAAAATAGTTTATATACATAAGAAAAATTTAGATCCGTCGAGTTAATCTTTTAAAATATGTTGAGCTAATTTCACATGTGATTTTTTTTAACAAATAGTATGAGATGATAGTTTATATGGATTAAGTGATCACACTCGATTACAGTTCTCACGTTACCTATTGTAGAGAGTTAGTTCTCACAATTGGTGCTAGTGCAGATGCAGATGGTGGAGCATTTAGTGGACTTGCATGGTTTTAGTTCTCTTTCTCTTATTCGAGTTGGTCCACCATTTAGTGGACTCACATGGTTTCGGTTCTCTTTCTCGTACTTTAGTTGGCTCCCGTTTGGAGTGTAATGTTTGGATATATCGGCTATTAGAAATTTTAATATAAGGAGAAGCTCGGTGAATATACACATGATGGGAGATTGTTGAGAAAAATATATGTGTGTTGCCTCACATGAAGATGTGTAGTAATTTATATATATGGAAAGACATTAAACCTAAAAAATTAACTTTTTAAATTAAATTAATCTCTTAAAATGTGTTGAGCCAGATTCACATGAGATTTCTCTCCAAATGTAAGCAGTTCTCTTCTCCCGGCCAACTCGGCCTTATGAAAATTCAGAGGTCTTTCACTCACATTCGACGAAGAAGACGAAGAGCATACCTCGGATGAAGGTGTGCAAGTGTTGTCTTCAGAATTTCCCCATGATCTACTCCTCCTGGTTTGATCCAACTCGGCTGCAACTTCTGTCATTGAAGGCCTCATGTCCCTGTGAAAAGCAAGACATCTGAATGCCAATTCCGCTACCCTATGAACCGACCAAAGTGTCCAAGCATCCCTATGTGGCTCAATTAATGGATCTATGATCTCGTCTAGACACCCTTTTCCAATTCTGTCGGTAGCCAAAGCAGCCAAGTTCACTTCGTTCTGGGGTCGGGAAAAGTCGACTGCTTTAAGCCCTGTTATGATCTCCACAAGAACAACTCCGAAGCTATAAACATCGCTTTTATCAGACAGGTGAAAGTTCTGATGGTATTGAGGATCAAGATAGCCCGGAGTACCTTGCGGGGCCGTTGAAATGTGAGACGTTTCAACCATTCCTAGCCTGGAAAGACCAAAATCCGCTACTTTGGACCTGAAGTTTTGATCCAAAAGAATGTTGCTCGACTTGATATCTCTGTGGTATATTGGAGGTTTGATAGCAGAGTGGAGATACGCTATGGCTTGAGCAGTTTCAGCGGCTACAGTAAGGCGAATTAGCCAGGAAAGTCCATCGCCTCTCTCTCTGTGTAAATGCTGACAAAGCGTTCCGTTTGGCATGAATTCATAAACGAGGATTTGTTCCCCATAATCGATGGAACAGCCCAAGAGACGGACAAGATTTGGATGGCTTACAGTTGATATGAGTTTGATCTCATTAACGACTTGCTCAATGCTGTCAGCATCTCTGTATCTGATTCTTTTGATGGCAAGCCACTCGTCGCAGTTTAGTTTTCCTGCATAGACGGTTCCATAGGCGCCCGTGCCTAGCCTGTATTTATCCGAGAAGCCATTTGTGGCTTTCTCGACATCTTTGAAGGAGTAGATCGGAATGTTCAAGTTGCCAGTGGCTTCGGACAGATGGCGCTTCGTCAGGCGTCTCATTTTCCATTTCAAGCATCGCCGACTGATACAGCACATAATTAGGCCGAGACTGATTGTTAACGAAGCAGCAACAACAATGCCTGAGAAAGGATAAGTTGCAGAAATTCACACTTCTTAGTTTTTTTATGTTCTAGATACTACTGATTATCAATGAAGCAAAAATCCTTGGTGCTTTATATTTCTGAATTCAAACACCAACTCCACAATTTTGATCTATAAGAGATTAAATGATCAGTTCATATAACTCAACAAAGGGGTGTAACTCCAGTAAAAGAGTACTTAAGATTCTATACATCAGTTTTTATAAGATTGTCAAAATAACGTGTGCGCGAGTTCAGAAGAATCTTGTTATTACATTGTTCCACAAGTAGATAATTAAAAAAAAAAAAAAAAAAGAGTTACCTCCAACTAACATGACGATTCTTGTCGTTCCTCCACACTTGCCAGAAATGTACCCTGCTGGATTGCACTTTGAAAACGCTGTTTATACAAGCAAACGACACACGAGTGATTTGTAAGATGCTTAAGAAACCTTCAGAATGCAAGAAAATTTCACGAGCCTCTCCTTGATAAAAAAAATCGGGCATCAGCACATCTATGCAGATAGAAAACAATTAATTGCAAGGTGCTGGAATCTTTATATTGTTATTTCATTGTTCGGTTAATACGTAGTTTCTATTTCTAGTGATGTTTTGCACTAAAAAGTTGCATTCAAGGAATGTAATATAAAATGAGCGTGCATATACGAAAATTTATTTCAGGGCATGAACTATGATAAAATTTCATTAATAAAAAAACGTAAAAAGAAAATGATATTGAGATCTAAATACCGAAACTTAATAATTAATTAATACGTTATAACCATTCTCTACGAGTCTTCGCACTTTAAAACCATTGCATAAGACCATTATTATATCAGTGTTGTAAAAATACTTTCTATTATAGCTGCCCATGATCAAATATATAGCACGTCAAAATAATAAATAATTATATGTGTTCTAATAACAAAATTCAAGTATAATTCTTAAATTGTAGGTATTAAAAAAATGAACTCGCAAATAAAATATATCTGATCTCTAACGAAAAATAACAAATCAAAAGACAATAAGCTTATGTGATGGTCAGTGTCTATCAACGCTAAGTAAAAAGACCCATAATCAATTAGCGCGCGTTTGGAGTAAGGATCCGTGCCATGGTTCGGATTATGGTTCGTGACCCGTTACAGTATTTTCTCTCACAAAAACACACATAAACTGAGAATTATTTTGAATCATGATTCTAAATTCGTGAACCAAACATCCCTTAATAAAAAAAAGGGCATCAGACGCTAGTGTGGATTGGATATAAAAAGGGCAAAACAAACGAGAAAATTAAGGAGCGTTGCATTTGGATGGTAAAAGAGTCAAAAGAAAATTAAAAAAAAAAGAACGTAATTTTACCGTTTCTAAATATTACAAAATATTGTTATATTTCAATTTCACTCTTATAAACTCGTCATGCAATGTTATATTTACTTTTAATTAATATAAAGTAATCGGTCCGTTATTTTCATGTTAGCTTTGGTGAGTGCATACAAATAATTTTGAGAAATGATTTCCAAATTACATGTACTAAAAACAAGGAAACAAAAAAATCCCCCAGACCTTAGGTCCCTGCCACCGGCCGTTTATATGTGAGTTCATGGTTTGCTTGTACAAATCATTTGAAAAAAAGGTTTATAAGATGATAAAAAGAAAATGACAAAAAAAAAAAAAAACACAACATAATAATAAGGAAAACTTTTTTCCTAATGTATGGAAAATAGCTAATAGATAAGACGTAATTTTTACATCAAAAAAAAAAAAAAAAAAAAACAAGATATAAGACGTAATTTTTATTTAATTTTAATTTGATCTAAAATGTAAAATTCTCTAAATAAGAAAACGTTTTGTTTTGGCAGAATTTCTGCTGTAGGATGTCTTTTTTTAACTATTGGTAAGAATTAAGATTTTAATCATTGAATTAAGTTTTTGACAGTTTGATACGTGATTGGAGCACTTCTATGACTGTAAATTTTTAACCTAAACACTTATAAATCATATTATTAAAAACTTAATTCAATAACTAAAACACTAATTCCTACAGCTAATTACAAACGGTAGGTCCTACTTTACCTGTCTTAGTCTATAATTTGTTTTTCTTCCTTCCCTATTGTGTGTTTAGCGACACTTGGTCTAATTAAATGCGTGCGCAATTTCTTCAAGTTTGACTAGCAGTGATGGTGATATATATAGTTTTTACCTAAGCTCCACAAAATATGACTTCGATGAAGCGACACCCAATTTAATAAACTTTTTGAAGAATCATATGTATTTTCGACCTTTATGTTTGACAAAATCGACTTTCAACTTATATAAACATCACGCTAACAAGTTCCATACTTCCATCACTAATCCTCTTAGCAAGTGAAAGGCACTACTTAGCAAAATACATATTTTCAGTTTCACTACTATATATTTGTATAAAACAATCAATCAAACATTGAAAATGTTATATTTTTCTATTAGGCCATGTTTGGTGCATCATATTATATTGTATCGTATAGTATTGTATTACATTATATAATTTTTATACAATGCGGTGTTTGGTTAGTGGTATTATTAAACATTATACTGTTTTTACCATTATAATCTATTTACGTAATAGTTTGTAATAAGGTAAAATTTAGGCTTAATCATAACTTAATTCAACTCTAATCTCAACTCGAACCTAACATTTGGAGGAAGAAAGGGAGAAAGTAGAGTTGCTACATAGGGGTCTTTTTGCAAAAATTTTTGAAAACAAGGTCAAATTGTAATTGTCAAAAATTTAAGGGGAAAAATATAATTTTGAAAAAGTTGAGGGCTCAAAATATAATTTTAAAAAAATTGAGGGGTCAAAACATACTTTTTAAAAGTTTAAGGGTCAAAATATAATTTTTAAAAAGTTGAGGTGCAAAATATAATTTTTTAAAAATATAAACTCAACATTACTCCGATCCCGAAACTCGACTCTAACGTTGATCCCAAAATCTAACCCCGAGCCTTGATATTTGTAAAATATTTTATATATAATATTTTAAGTTAAATTACAAAATATAGTTTAGTACATAAATTTTTTTCCGTATTAAATATTACACTTTATATTATATTAATTTTAAATCTCTTATTAAATTATACAATATATAAAGATCATCAAGCATTATATTATTATTAAATAATATAATACGTAATATTTATACAGTATACTAAACATGTCCTTAAAAACTCGTACTCCGCTAAAAATCAATTTTTTTTAAATAATCCGATTTGTTTTTATTCATAAAACGTGGATCCCACCAGTATATTCTTACGTGGGATCTTTTACTAGAGAATGGAGATTTCAGGGTTATAAAAAAAAAAAATATATATATATATATATATATTTTCCCTGGTAGATGGGTAATATCACTTCTTCGTATACTGGGCAGACCACTCATTTCTGTGATTGATTCTGTTTCTTTTGCATGCCGGACAAAAAAAAGACGAAAGAAAGGAGAAGAAAAGTTACAAAGTTCTCGAAAAATAATTTTTTTTTAAAAAGCCACTTGGGTTAAAATTGATTAGTTTGACTTGACCCAAAAATGATTAACCGGACACGCAAAGTTAGTTGTGTGATGTTTTGAGGGATAATTGCTCAATTTCGGGGTCCCACACGTTCCACTCACACTTCAATCTCCCAGAATTAGGTGACTAATTTGTTTCCCGTCACATGTAATTTCGTTTCTTTACCTAATAATATTGAGATTATTATCGTGATTATTTGAAATCGCCTTTCTCAATACCCTTCATACAGTTTTTTTTTTTTAAATCCGCAAAAACTCAAACTCATGAATTAATACCCATAATAAAGCCCATTGAAAAACATTTTGAGCATGCACCAAAATTTATGTCAATGGCCACTGGGTCTCAATCGTAGGGCCTAAGCTAGTCTTATCTCCATTAATAAGCATGAGGTAAGCACATAAACAAAAAAGTCATCAATACCAGTTTTATTGCTGATCAAAAACTAAAAAGTGCGACCTTAATTCCCGAGAAATTGATTAATTAATCCAACCCCTAATTAACTATCAATCAATGAATAAATTCAACGAACTCCGGCAACGAAAAATCAAAACTAACCTTTCCGGCAACCGGAACCGGCCTTATATCCATCCCCTTCAAAGCCTTCCGTGCAGTTACACCGATATGCTTTTCGTCCGTGGGGTGACACAAGCTCTCTGCAATTAGCATTCACATCGCACCGGCACTGTCCCTCCAGCCACCAACCCAGCTCGACAACCTCGACCGCCAGAGAAACCGGCGCTTCCGAGGTGTTGAGCGACTCCGCTGAAATAGACGACAAAAGGTACTCACATTTTCTCTCCTTCTTCAGCCTCTCCAAATCAATGAAAGCTCTCTTGTTTCGCTCCGAGTAGCAGCTGATCGTGCTGTTGGAGTCGCTGCAGCTGACGGACGAGAAGTGGGTCTGCACCAGAATCGAGGGGATCTCGCAGGGGAAGGCGGCTTCGGTGCAGTTATTGAGGAGGATCGCGTTGTTGGCTGTCGGGGCGTAGTTTGGCCCGAAGAGCTGGGCCACGGTTTTCAGCGAGCGGTTGCATTTCCGTTGGATGTTTACCCTTATGCCGTCGCCGTTTACAAACTGGATCGGAAACTCGCCGACGGTGGCTTTTCCGGTGGCGCTGCAGTTGAGCTTGATTTCGCAGCCGTCGGAGAATCCGAACGGATAAGGTAAAGTCAAGCCGCCTGATCCGTGTTTGGAAGCGCATGTTCGGTTGCAGAAACTGAGGGATGAATTATGGGCTTTAATCCATGGAATTAGACCAAAGATAAATGTTATCAGCAAGAGAACAAAGGTTGGTTTGGCTCTAAACATTGATAAGAGTTTGAAGGAACCAATTTTTTTTTTTTTTTTTTTTTTATGGGTAGATATATATATATATATATATATCTATATAATGTATATATAGACTTACGAGGAATCAATATTTAGCGTTTACTGGGTTTCTTTCGTGTAGTGTAGGATTGAGATTGTCTTTAAAAAAGAACTAAGAAAAAGTTGGTATGGAGGATCAGGAAGTTTCTTGCTTTCAAGTATTGATCAGCTGACCCACCAAGCTCTCTGTCTTCACACTTACAAGGGTTGTATATATTGACAAAATTAATGTTACTAAACAATTTTTGATAAAAGAGGACAAGGCGTACTTTTTGTTTGATAATTTGGTTTAACGCGTAGCATACAGAAAATTAATTCCTACTAGAATGAAAAGTTAAGGGATCCAGAGGATCACGACGGAAACGTGGGTCCTACATGTTTACTATCCCATTGGATGTTTATAACGACCGTGACCAATTGACCAACCCTTTTCATAGGCTTCCTCTTCCCTACATATATAATACGATTATATTGATTTAGTTTTTGTTTTCCTTGAAAATTCTCTTTGTTGTAATTTGTCCACTCGTGAAGTCTTGTTCACACGACCATGTATTTTCAGGAAAAAGGAAAATCAAAAAGAAAGAAAGATGACCACTCAAGTGAATGCAAATACGTTAGAGCAAATCACAATTGTCTGAAGTCTGAACCCAGACAATGGTTTTCTATGCAGTTTGCATTACGTAATGCCTGCATGACTTTGTAAGTACATTTTTTTTCCTCCCAAAGACTTTCTAAGTTCATATTACATAATGTTATGATTTTTATTAGTTCACTGACAATTAGTTATAAAAATTTAAAAACATATATAATTAGGATTTGGTGTTTTTGAGCGGATCATGAAGAGATTTTGGGCAATTATAGAGACAAATGTACATTTAATGAGAGAGTTATTTGAGAAAAGAATATTAGATTAATTGTCTTAATGGATTGATTATTGAAGACCTACCTTACATGGGAGAGTCCTTAGTTGGCGTGGTAGAAATCATATCAATATGTGAGTTGGAATTTGACTGACCACCAAAATTGGAAAAGAGAATCTAAACCTAATTGGTATTTGAGACTAGATTCATTGTAATGATAAGGGATAAAATTGTTGAGAGAAAATTATGAAAATTCCTTTATAGAGAATCGAGGAGGAAAATATGGGTGATTTTGTGAAAGATTGAAACCTTACATGAAAGTTTTGTTTCAGCTCACTTTTTACGACGGTTTGATAGAGAAATATTCAGAAAAAGTCTGTGCATTTGTGAGCCTTCAAAGAGTGTTCATTAAGATCGTCTTTTGAGAGAAGGATTATAAGTTTTCGGGAGAAAATGCTCTTTCAACCGAAGGAATTTTACTGTGTAGTTTGAAGATGAGTGGTGCTTGTTGGATAAGGCCATTAAGGAGAGTCGACACGACGACGACAATATCAAAGAGTGAGTCTTTAGGTGTATAAGTCTGATTGGTGTTTGTAATCTTGAGACTTATTGGATTATTCACTGTCTAGGTGTGGTCCCGCAGATATAGGTGTGTGCACGAAACTGGGATTCTAATTCTTGATGTTCTTTATGTTTTTACACTATTATTTTTTGCTTGATTACTTTGACGTTTCTGCACATAATTATTATAGTTAATCATCAATATTACAGAGAGTGTTATAATACTTTTTTAAAATGCTGTATAAAAAACAAACCTTTCACATAACGTTAAGGATGACTGGACAAAGATTGGCTTGGTATACTTTTTTTGTTTTTTTAAAACAAAAAGCTTGATAAAATACATTTTGTTAAAAGAGAAAACCACAACAGAAAAGAATATCCGATTAATATTCAGAGAAGACCTTTTTTTTTTCTCCACTTAATTTAAACAGCTCTTATTGCATGGAATATTAGAATAGGGCCAGACTCCTCTAACTTATCTCCTTTTTTTTTCCTCCAACATCTGATAATAGCTTACTCAGTTGCTTAACCTTGTAAAGTCGCGGAAGGGACAACAAAGTCAACGTATTGAATCATCAATTTGATCTCTGTCCTTTTTTGTGTGTATATATATATATATATTTGTTCCATTAGATAATATTTATCTTCGAGAGTTGGAGTTATTAGGGGGTAGTTGTGGAGGTGGGACCTTCCCACCTATGTTTTATAAACGTCGGCCCTTTTTTGAAAAAATATGACAAAATTCCCGTGATTGATAGATTTAGTACGCTATCTAAGTGAGTCATAGACTGTCACACACGGCAATATGGTTTCATTTAATGGAGCGAGGTTGTTTGAACTTTGTGTCTTTGACCCATCTCCGCTCAGCGGGACTGTTTTGTAATTTCAATTGTTGGATTGGACGGCAAAATCTAAATAAACTGCTTTCAGTGACTGCCATAATTTACAAATTAAATATTAACCATATAGGTATTTTACCTCTTAAAAAAGGCGTTGGTGTATGTGCATCTTCTAAAATCCCTTGAAAATCATGCTCATTTTGGTCTCATTTATTTCGCTGATTTAAATTTAAAATTTGAGTTTTGTTACAGTAAAAAAACTCTTACAAACAGTCACATATAACTTTTTTGCTACAGTAAAAAGCTCTCATATAAAATCACATCTCAACTCGAATTAAAAACTCGAATCAGCGAATTAAACGGCCATTTATTTTTCTATTTTCTAAATAAAACATCGAGGGTTTTGGTTTATGCTGATAATACATAATTACATGTACTGCCCCTATTGAAGTTTCTGAATGTGCAATAATACGTTTGTCCACTTTAAAAGGAAGATGGCCATGGTGCCTTCTTACGTGAATCTTGTACGCTGATCTTTCTTTTGGCGTAGATAGAATAGTACAAATCCCCTTCCTTTCTCAGCCTATCTGCTTAGAATCTTAAGACTACGTTTAGTTTATGAGTTCAAACCATATAGTTTGAATCAAATTTAAATTTTATGAGAATTGATAAAGCAGTACTATAGTAGAACGTTTTACTTCAAACCATTAATATACGAAGAACATAAAGTAGGAACCAAACAAAAGTCGTGATTTTTCGCTCTGCCGTGCATGAACTTCAAATCTTAAAGATATGAGGAACAAGACAGCTTATCGATCAAAGAAATATTTAGGATATAATTTAAACTGATGTACGTTATCCCTATATACTTATCATTCATTCCTTATTGTTTTCTAAAAGAAAAGAAAATTATTATCTTGCATATTCTAATAATTAAGTCGGGAATCATTAACTAGTATGGATAAGAAAAAGACTAAATAAAAAAGAACTATTTAACAATTTCGTTTTGCTAAAACTAACATTGCAACCGTAAATCTAAAAACTTCTCAAAAAATATAAATATTATAAAAATTTCTTATAATATTTATATGTAAGAATTATTTAACAATCCACGCTTCTGAAGTAGTTAAATTTCACAAGCTGATCATAAGAAGATGTACGAATATTTTTTGGAACTTTTTAAATGAAAAAAATATTACTATGAATTCATAAAAAATCATTAAAGTAGAGGTAAATTAGAGAAGAAAAAGTTTTTCAGAAAGACAATTTTAAAAACATAAACTTCATAATTAAAAAAAAAATGAAAAAAACACAAAATAATTTATCAAAATTCTATTTCGACCAAAACAATCCATTCATTCAAAAAATTAAAAGTCATTGACTCTTTATATATATATA